CTGGGGAATTCTGGGAGTTGAAGTCCACCCAGCTTAAAGTGGCCAAGGTTGAGAAACACTGGGGCTGCATTTTGACCATATTATAGGGCTGTGGGAAGCACTGGGAAGAGCCCTCTTCTGAACCCTCCTCTCGAAGCATCAAGACAAAGGTGTCTGTCAAATGCTCAGCGTTCCCCAGTCTTTGATGCATGCACAGAAGACACTTCTGCTGGGATTTCTTTGCAGTCCGGTTAATTTATGTCTTTTTTTTTCCTGGCAGCAAAATGGACATAAAATTTCCAGGCATCCAAGATTTCCAGACAGTGAGCAAAGCTAGAGTTGCATTGTACCTAAAGACTTTTTGTGGTTTTGGCCTTTTTTTTTTTAATTCTGTGGAATGTATTCCTCTGCCCTCTATTTCAAATCGACTTTGCTGTTGCAAAGTGGTGGTTGTTGTTTTTTAATCCATTTTACAAAGCGATTCGTAATTTTATAGTCCTATTTTGTTTGTATCTTGTGTGGCCTAGCAGCATTCTGTCACCAGGGCAACTTTGGCTAAGCAGGGCTAGCCCTGGAAATTACTTGGGTGGGGAGACAGTTTGAAAAGTCCAGGGACGTAAGGCTAATCTGGGAAATTAAAAAAAAAAAAAAAAATCCTGGAAAAAGCCAGTGGCAAACCACTTCTGTATCTTGCCACAAATGTACGGACCTATCCAGCTAATCATCAGGTGCTGAGCTCAACTCTTTTTAAATATGTTTTTAGATATGTCATGAACAATCGGCACCCCAAATCACTTTTTGTACCCTCTTAAGCCTTCTGCAGCTATGAATACCAAAGTTGCTAGCTATTTATTTATTTATTTATTTATGTATTTATTTATAAAATTAAGATGTTCCAAGATCAAATTCAGAGGGAGATGTTGTCTAAGCTAGTCCTTATCTGGGGTACCATTTGCTCTTGAGTTTGTCAGATATTTTTCCTGGGCTGAGTGTGTCTCAGATAAGACATTTTGTGGCTCCTATCATGAAGAATCTATGCAGAGAGTATTATGCCAGCGATTAAAAACAAAAACAAAAAACCCCATCCAAATCTTCCTGTCAAAATTGAGTCCCACCCATAAATTACAGTGGTACCTCGGGTCACGAACGCTTCTGTTCACGACCAATTCGGGTCACGAACAGCTCCGTTTGCAAAATTTTGCCTCCGTTCGCGAGGTACCACTGTATGTGTGATGAACTTCTACCCAGTTTGCAGCCTTCATCCTACCCCAAAGGTAAAGTAAACTCTTTAATTTCAAAATGTAGGATGTGAAATAAGCCAACTCTTGGGATCAAGGCTGTGTCTTGTGTTTGTTTCTGGGTAAGGTGTTTAATTTGAGCTCCAGCTCTTGTTCCCATTTTCAAATACTATTTTTGTTTGAAATGCATTTCTCTGATGGGCATGTGTTTTTGTTATGTTACAGGTTGAATTAAGCCCTGGGCAAAATCATTTTAAAAAAAGAAGCACAAACACCATTAGAGCCACTGAAGATCAATTTTGTTGTAAGTATTCCCCATTCTCCTACCATTAGGTGGAGCAGGTGTGTGTGTTGGGTGTGTGTGCGTGTGTGTGTATACACACAAGCACACCCTACTTGTCTTAAAGTTGGAAATCAGGATTCTTGTTCTGTAGAGATGTTCGTTGAAACATGTTTAATCTCTTCAGTGAATTTTACCAATTTTATCAGCATTTTTCTCCTTCCTCTTAGTTACATCCAAAGGATGGCGTACTGTCCCTTTGGATAACGAGGGACTCTGAATCTAATCTTCACGTCCACATAGGCCCAGTATTTTAAACTTTTTTTGAGATTTTGGGAAGAGAGGTTTATTTTAATGCAGAATAAATGCATTAGAACCTGCAGAAGCTTAATTAGCTAATGTTACTTCTTTCATCAGAAAACCTGTTACGGCACTAAAAACCGGCAATTTTCTGACTAATATTGGCAGTACTACCTTGGACATTGGGACCTAGAAAAACAGGTTTGGAGGACCAGAAGTGGCCCATAAGACATGAATTGCCACCCACTGCTCTAGTTGGTGCTGAGTTATTCTCAGTTTGCATTTCAGATAACCCCCATTCAGTCTAGCTGGGACGAAAAAACAAACAATGCAAGATCCCCTATTTTTAAAAAACATGAAGTTCAGTTTTGCTCAGTTCAGTCTTCAGCTGAAAAAGAGACATAGCATTTCCTTGATAAGTGGGACACAAAAAGAAATAGAAAAATTGGACAGTTCTTATATGAGCAAAGTTATGCTTTTCAGGCATGCGCACATTTCCCTCCTACCCTGGTCTGTTTTTATAGTAAGGAGGTAGTGATTGTATTTACCTCTTTGCTGTTGTCAAACAAGAATTAAAAGAAAAGCTGCAAGGGCTGATGAGAAAGTTGGCAGATCTCTATATAGCAAGGAGACACTTTCAGTACAGTTATAACAACAGAAGGAGGAGAGGTTGGCCAAAGTGAATGTTCATGATTGCATCTGAAATATTGGAAAGTGCAGGATTCAAGGAACAGAACAGTTGATGTGCTGCAGGCAAATCATACCTCTTTCATCTCCTCCAACACCTGGCTGTTCCCCATTTGTCATGCACAGGATAATGAGGAAAGGTGCAACATCTGGAACAGGCATCATATATAATCCTCCAACCAGTATTGATCTGTCCTCCTCATTCCAGTAGAAATTGCTGGGGACCCTCTAGTTCCAGGGTGCACGTGCTATGGAGGGTTGGAGGTGGTGCTTCTCTGTGGCAGCATCTATATTATGGAATATCCTCTTCTTAAAATTTAGGCTATAATATTAGCTACTATATCAGCCTTCCAGAAAGTTATTGAAAACCTGAGAGCCTGTCGTGAGTGACGAGATGCCAAGACTGATTGATGTTTACTTTTTATGCCTTTATGGGTTTAGTTTTAGTCTTGCCGTGGGTGTTTTAGATAGTTCGCTCTTGTTTGTTTGATGCTCTCAATCACTGTAAGCTGCTGAGAATGAATACGGTATAAAGGGAGGCTAGGTTGAGAGACCGATGGAAGGAATTCTGCCTTCAGATATCCAAAGGTCAAATCATCTCTTTCCAGATTTAGCATATAAACTGGACCTTAGTTACCAATAACTTTCATATTCCCTAAATTGCTTTTACTCATATTGTCATTATCACCAACACCATTATCTTCATCAAAAGCCATTAAAAAAATGTGGGTTTTGCAAAACAGTACATTTAGAAATGCATCTATAATGTGGATAAAAAAAAAATTAATGCAGTATAGGACTGGATAGTCTGACATGCAAATAATGTCAAAAATCAGAAATGGATTGATTTACACTCCCTTACTTGGTCAAAGATGATTTGGTGGTTGAATTAAGCTCTTTATCATAGCTTGATCCAGCTGAACGTGGTGGTATAGATCCAGGGGTATGTAACTTGGTGCCTGTGATTGCCAGTGTTCCCAGGACATCTCCTGTGCACTCTGCCAGACTTTTGTTCCTATCAGCCTTTTAAAATTTAGCACTGTATTTTATAAATGGTTGGTGATGGCCCTGGTGCTTTGTTAAGAAGAGAGTCTACCTGCCCAGAAAAAATGGCAAGAAGCTGAGATGATGGGCTTGCGGGAGCAGGGTGCTGTGCCACCAGTCTGCCTTCTGATAAAAAGGAAGTAAGTGTCGGCCATTGTCATCCACACTCTGATGCCCTTCAAGTGCGGTGGACTATAGCCTCTTATAATACAAGCAGTGTGATGGGAAATTAGGGGACTCGTAGGGGCACGAGGCTGGAGAAGTGCTTCTGCCCCATAGCCTGGTCTTTGCAAGCTGCCTGCAGTTTGTTAAAAGCAAGCAAACTTGTCCCAAACTCTTGCATTCTTTTTGTAGAAAGGATGGATTCAGAGATTTCTCCACGGAGCTGCTATCAGTGACACATCCTAGTATACAGACTGGCAGTTGCTCAGAGAAATGATTAGAAGCCATCGTTCCAAGAACAAAGGAAGTTGCCTTTAAATCAAGGTTAGATGATTTGCCTATCTATCCTGCCATTGTGCCTGCCCACCCTCTTTCCCAGCTTCAGGGCGTTTCAAACAGATGTCTTTCACATCATTCATCAGATGCCCTGAATTATACCTGTGACATCTGCATGCAAGCCTTACAGTTAGTACTACATGTGTTTATTACTGTTTCTGCTGCTGAGGGCCAGAGGTGATGTAGCAGTGTGGCTGTGATGTCTGCAGATGGGACGGAGGCAGAATTTTTGGTGTCCCCCCCCCCTTTGTTTGGGGTGCTTTTTTTTTTTTACTCACCTATTTCATGGCTGTTAAAAGGGAGACATGTACTGCTGTAATTGATTTTGGAAGCTGTGTGCAGCATTACTCCATAACGTGCCACTAAAGTGTAACCCATCTCCACTTGCAGAGGTATTCTGCCTCTTTGCAACTGCCCCAGCTGATTGCTGCTAGTTGGGTGGACTCTACAGATCTGGAAGGACTGATGGTTGGTTTTGATGTATAGCAGTGTCACATTTTCAGTCTGTATTTTACAGGATTTACTTACAGTATAAACCTATTTAGACACCATTAGTGTTTTGGGGTTTTTTAAGCTTTCTTCCCTTAAAGAAAAAAACCCTCCTAGTCTATACAGGGACGATATTCAGCATAGTACAAATACTTTGCTGCAGAAGATGGCAGGTTTAAATGCCAGCAGCCCCCGAAAGTTTTGGAAACACTGCAGCCTGAAATGGCTGCTAAGTGCATCAAGAATTTACTTCAAGAGAAGTCATCCTCCTTTGTTTCCTAAAAGCATGACTTGCTGAATTATGCCAACAGTGGTTCTAGAAGGCTGGCATCATAAGAGTTGATGAGAAGTTTTCTGAGTCTTACTGTTGTTGAAGATCTTCCATGCAATTTCCTATCCTCCCCCTCCCTGCTTTCCTTCATGCAAGCCCCAGAGAACATCAGCTTCTTCCTCTCTTGGCTGAGATTTCTAATGTTAAGCAGACAAACAAATTTTCTTTCACTAATAAATGCAAGTACCTAACCTTATTAAGTCTCCCAGCTTGCAGCTGCTGCAAGAGGAAAAATTGAGTTAATTTTGTTAAATCAAATGCAATATGTTGTTATGGTGACCATTTGCAGATTGGGGTCATCTTGGCTACACATACTTTCTGGAGTACATCTGCTGCTGTGTTTATTGGTTTAGTGTGCTTTTATTTTAAATAATAATATCAACTAGTAACAGTAACAATGGAACTCCAAGATGTCTACTTAAATTGCAGCCAAGAAACTTGATACTGTACATGCATATCCAGGAACATCACCCATTGGTTTCAGTAGGATGATTCCTGTCTAAGGTATAGACTCTAAAGTACGAATACAACTAGCATGAACATCTTTTAAAAATGTGAACAACTGGAAGAGATCTGAACAGCAGCTATTCTGCTGAAGTTCAGGAAGGTTGCTCTCTACCATTCCAGAAAAAAAAGTCCCCTCCCCAGAACTGCTATTTGCATCCAGGGGGAGAAAAAAACTTAATTAAAGCCAATTGAGATGTTTTTTTCTTTCTTTCTGAGATTAATAGTCGTTTCAAGCAAGAAAGGTGATTTTAATGACAGTGGAGAATTCTAATATAAAATACTGCTTCCAGGAGATGATCTGTGAAAGAGCTGCAGCAATGGAGTTTGGTTTCTTCCCCATACCCTTGTAGTCTACACAATCCTCAGATCTCCTCTTGACTGCTGCTTTCTTATCTTTTTTTAATGCTTACAACTAATGTCCATTAAATGTCCATGATGAGGATCTCTTATGTCCTTTTGAAAATTTAAAAGGAATTTTGCAGAGGGGCTAACCATATGCCTTTATTTTGCTCAAAGACTGAAACAAGAATAAAAACCAAACCAAACCAAAATGATCAAACAATAGCACCATATAGAAAACATCAATTTTGATGGGTTTCTTTAAATAACACATATTATTATTAATACTAAGCTAAAAGGACCTAGAACCTGAATGAAGAATAACCTACAGACTGAGAATAAAATCATGGTGTTGTTTAGAACTAAAACTTTGTCCCTCAGGGATGTATTTGATGGGGTGATTGCACAACTTTCTCCTTCCCTTTCTCCTCAGTTGGAATATGCATGTACCCCCTGCCATCCCTGTTTTAATAACTTTACTGTGTAGGAAATCCCCACCAATTTTTTCCCACCAATGACATCATTAGAACTTTGGGGAGGGAGAATTTGAGTCAGAGAATGGAAGAGGCAAGGATTCCCTCCATCATGCTACTGGCTTCAGCCACCCTAGCGGTCATCCTGGCTTTTGAACGCTTTAGAAAAAACATTGGAAGATCTGATTTCGAGTCTCTAGTGCTTTGTGTAATATGGATTATGCCTTCAAGTTGAAAGGTACACCTATTTCTCTTTGTCCCAACAGCAAGAACTTGCATGGATTAGATTCCTACCCCATTCCACCCCCCCAAAAGTTACTTTTGCAAGAATCAAGAGCTCTCTTCTGATGTTCAGCTAAATGTAAGACTCTCTCCTTTAGTTGACTTAAAATTGGCTGAAACTTTTCAGGTACTTGATATTGCATGGCTAATTAATAATACAGACATTTGATTGTTCTCTGACATAATGAAGATGCAACCCCTTCATATAAGTTTAAACCCAGAGCTTCTGCATTTTCTGCCAATTTACAGAACTCTTATTTGCAAACTTGTGCAAGGTAGCTGTTCATTGTTGATGTTTTTGGCATTCTGTCCTGGGAACTACCTCCCAACCTATCTCCCACAGAAAGAGTAGAGAACAAGGTCTTGTGTACAGTCCCACTCTTTAATTCCTACTGACCTCTACATAACTGTGGTTGAGTTTGCATGAATGTGAGAACAGCCTTCTGCACAGGCTGGGACTATGGTTTTTCAGGGTCCTGGATCATGCAGAGAGACGTCCTTGAGTTCAAGCAAATGTGGGTACAGCTCCTCCAGCAGAGGAGACCTCCAAAGGAACGTGTGGAAGTCAGAGAGAGAAAGGATTGGGGCCTCTGTGTACAGTTCATTCACTTCTCCATTTGAAGTCAGTCACATGTCCAGCTGAATGCCTGAAGAGGGCTGAAATCTGCATTTTCAGCAGCTTAGAGTAGGAGAACTGGGAATGACAGTAATTGAATGCATTTCTCTCTTTGTTGTCATTTCAGAAAGGTGAGTGGTAACATTTTCCAAGGTCTCTGAACATCAAAGTGGAGGAGCAGGAAGACAAAAGAGGAAATTGCACGCACATGCTCACACGGACAAAGCTGTGGTGTGCAGTGTTTTTTTTTCCTCCTCCCCAAGCCAAGGAAAGAGACAGAGAGGGATGGTTGCAAGATGAGCATCGGAGTCTCAAGTTGACAAAGATTTGCATGAGAAAAGAACAAGAGGCGCTTCCTGGGCTGCTTCTTGTCTTTGAAGACTTGCCACAGTCAACGGCACTGCAATGGCTCGGTTTAAAGCTTCAACACAATTCACAAGGAAAATATTTGGACTGCAACTTTTGGACAGTTTTCCTGCTTTGAAGTAGTTTGTCATGCTTTACCAGTGTGAACTCTGTTGACCCACATCCCCCCCGCACTTCCCCGTTACTTCAGGATTTTTTTGCCCCCTGAATCAAATAGCAATTTGTGACACTTTGAAATCTTGGAGCTGCAGTGGTTCTTTAGCAGCTCTGGCTTCATCTCAAATGCAAGCAAAGCGGGAAAGCTGTAGGGGAGACCTCCCTTTGCTGTAAATGAAGCCTGGCGACCGTTTCCTGAAATAGCATTTTCAACCGCTCCCCTTTTCAAAGGCCATGGATCCTGAACAAAGCAAGAGGAGCACAAAGAAGGGGGATGAGGTTCCAAGGAAAAGGCTCGTGAAAGGAGAAGCTTTTCAAAGCAGTGTCTCCTTAGTAACTTCATATCCGAGCAGCTCTGCTCCACTGCCAGGCTCTCCCCTCCAAGATGTGGCACCCCAGCAATGTTTTTCAAGGAAGGAAGCTCAGGAGAAGGCAGGACAAACGCAACCCAAGCATTCCTCTTTTGAGCATCCGTCCCATGTTGCCCAGCTTCAGCAGCACTCATTGTCATCAGCATACAGGACTCCCCGGAAGCAAGAGCACATTCTTGAAGGGCCCACATGGCAGCTAGTTGATCCAGCAAGATCAGTTCCCTCGGGCTCATTTCCTTCCTCTGGGCTCCCTTCCAGCCATGGTCAGATCTTACCATCCTGCTCATCTGTTCCTACTGAAGAAGACAAGCCCCCTGTCCAAAAGGTCTACATCCCTCGTACTTTGCAGGTTTCTTTGAAACCATCTGAAGAAGGACATAAGAAGGAAAAGAAGCCACAGAAGCCAGGCAAATACATTTGCCAGTACTGTAGCCGGCCTTGTGCCAAACCAAGCGTTCTCCAGAAACACATCCGATCCCACACAGGTGAGAGACCCTATCCATGTGTTCCCTGTGGCTTTTCTTTCAAAACCAAAAGCAATTTGTACAAGCACCGAAAATCTCACGCTCATCGCATCAAAGCTGGGTTATCTTCGGGGACTGCTACTGAGTTGTACCCTTCTAGCTTGGAGATGGAGAAGATGGGTGGAGAGGAATTTGAAGAGCCTACAGAAGGAGAAAGCACAGATTCTGAAGAGGAGACCAGGAGCACTCCAGGCCATTTGTTGGAATTGTCAACCAGGCAAAAGCAAACTATGTTGTATGGGGCAGGAAGTCAAGGTTCAAGCCAAGAAAGCTGTTCTTTCTCCCATTCTAGCATGTCTCAATCCCTTGATGACAGCAGTGCTTTTGTGGAGCCATCTTCAGACCTTGCCCAAAGTCATAAATCAGAAGAAACACACACTATTAAACAAAAGCTTGCACTCCGGCTAAGTGAGCGGAAGAAGGTTATTGAGGAACAAGCTTTCCTTAGTCCTGGCAGTAAAGGAAGCACTGAATCAGGCTACTTCTCAAGATCAGAGAGTGCAGAGCAGCAAATCAGTCCACCAAATACCAATGCAAAATCATATGCAGAAATTATTTTTGGCAAATGTGGGAGGATAGGCCAACGGACTGCTATGTTAGCCACGACCACCACCCAAGAATTTCCCCCAGTATTGTCTGAAGAAAAGCTGAGCGCTGTTCCTTTGTCTGTGCCTCGGACACAGGTTATTGAACATATCACCAAGCTGATCACTATCAATGAAGCAGTTGTTGATACTAGTGAAATTGATAGCGTTAAGCCAAGAAGGAGTTCTTTGTCTAGACGGAGCAGTATTGAATCTCCAAAGCCTGGCTCATACAGAGAATCATTTCAGCTAGACATCAAACCTGGTTCCAGTGGCCAACCAGATCCATCGAAGTCGTTGACATCCCATGTTGAAAAAATGAAGCCTGAACCATCATTGTTATCGTTCCAGCAATCCCACAGTGCCACAGAGACAGTGCCTCTTCTAAGAAGCCACTCTATGCCTTCAGCTGTATGCACTATGAGTTCTCCTCACTCCTTTAGAGGTAGCTATTCTTTTGATGATCACATTGCTGAATCGGAGGTTTTAAGCCGCAGTCAGATGTCTTCCCATCCCCGGATGCTAAAACGGCAGCCAGCTATTGAGCTACCACTGGGAATGGAGTACAGCTCAGAAGAGGTTAGCGCAGCAGGCAAAGAAAGCATTTCCAGACCTCCAGAAGAACAAGAGACCAAGGAGAGTGAGTTGACCAAAAAGTCAAGAAAGGGAATCAAAACAAAAGGATTTATGTACGAGTGCAACATTTGTGGTGCTCGGTATAAGAAAAGGGATAATTATGAAGCCCACAAGAAGTACTATTGTTCAGAACTCCAGATCTCCAAACCTCATTCTTCCAGTTCACATACTTTGTCAGAAATGGAGAAAGGTTTGATGGAATCTGATCCTGGGCCACAAGTGATGCATTATAAGCTGGGAACTAGTTTAGAACTCACTCCACTGAGGAAGAGGCGAAAAGAAAAAAGTCTTGGTGATGATGAAGATCCACCAGCTTTTGAGTTGACTGAAACATCCTCTTCTAGAAGCGGGCCAGCCACTCAGTTTATTGGGTTGAAATCTAGTGATGTGGCCTTGAACCTCAGTTCCAAGTCTGTGAAGCCAACAGTGGATCCCAGTCAATCCATACCCCTTTCTGATGTTAGTATAAGTTTTCACCCTAGAACTGCAAATCCACCATTTACTACGGAAGGCAAAGAGAGGAGAACAACCTCAAAGGAGATCTCTGTCATCCAACATACAAGTTCTTTTGAGAAGTCTGATTCCATAGAACAGCAGAGTGGCTTAGAAGGAGAAGAAAAGCTGCTTTTACCTTATGTCTCCCAACCAGAAGTCCAGCTTGGCCGACCAACTCACTCCCTTCAACCAAAGCTTGTGCGCCAACCTAATATTCAAGTCCCTGAGATTCTGGTCACTGAAGAGCCTGACCGGCCAGAAATGGAGCCTGAACCTCCACCAAAAGAGCCAGAAAAGATGGAGAAATTTCAGTGGCCACAGAGAAGCCAGTCTCTTTCCCAACTTCCCGCAGAGAAACTGCCACCTAAAAAGAAGAGGCTGAGGCTAGCAGAAATGGCCCAGTCTTCTGGAGAATCCAGTTTTGAGTCAATCAGAAGCCCAAGTCAGGAAAGCAGCATCTCCCACACTTCTAGTCACTCAGCTTCTTTTGAGCGAGAGGAAGCCGTTTCTCAGTCCTCTGAATCCCATGGTAAACCTCTTGGCCTTGGCTCCCACATGTTAACAGTACCAAGTCCCCATCTCCACCACCATCACCATCATTCCCGAGAAATGAGGAGGTCTGCTTCTGAACAGACACCCAATGTCTCACATTCCTCTCCAATGTCGGAGATCCGCAGCAAATCATTTGACTATGGGAGCTTGTCTTCATCTCCTTCTACATCCCAAACTCCAACAACATCAGCTCCACAGGAGAGGAGAAAGTGCTTTTTGGTCCGGCAGGCATCTCTCACCAGGCATCCAGAGCATGAACCAGACTCTGCCTCCAAAGGAGCAGCTGAGACAGAGGAATCAGCGCAGACTTCAAGTAAATCTCCTGCTGTAAGCTTATCGTACCAGCAGCTGCCTTCCTCCTCTTCCTCCTCTTCTTTTTCTTCTCACAGAGGGTACCCAACTGACAAGGATCAGCCAAAAGACTGTCCCGAGTCCTCATGTACATATCCCTATACTGAAGCTCTGCAGGTGGTCCATCAGCCTGTCCCTCATTTAACACTTCATGAAAAACAGTATATGGGCCCACAGATCTCTCTTTTACCGTTCCAGCATCTTTTGCCGCCACTGGAACAGTCAGTTGAGCTTTTCTCCACTCAGGCCATGGCAGACATCTTCTCCACTCAGTATTCCATCCCTCAGGTTCCTCATTCCATATTTCAAAGTGCAGCACTTCCTCTTCAAGAAGCTTTGCTGCATCCAGGCCAGTTGCACATTGCCCCTCCACTGCTGTCACACCCAGCTAATATTGTACTCAGGCAAAGCCCATCCATCATGCCCTTACATTGCCCAGGATCCTCACCACTCCCTTCTGCATTGTTTCTGCCTTTTCAGTCCCAGCTTGCTCTCCAGTTGCCAAGTGACATTGGTGCCCATTTGCCCCAGCTCAAAACCAGCCTCTCTCCTGAAATAGGAAGTCGTACCTTCTCCCCATCTATAGATTATAGCTCTGAGAGCCAACTGCATATTTTAACTCGGCCAAGCAGCCCCTCTGCATCTATCTCCATTTCTCAGTTGGTGGTGCCTGCCTGTTCAGAGCCTGTGGTATCTCTTGTTGTCCCAGTTCGCATTCAGGCTAACATGCCATCCTATGGAAGTGCAATGTACACAACTCTTTCCCAAATCCTAGTCACTCAGTCCCACTGTAGCGCCTCTTCAATCATACTGCCAAAATTTGAGGACTATCAGACCAAGGGCACTTTGGTCTGCACTGCTAATGTTCACAGCGTTGGTCTTGATTTGGCACAAATGATCACAGATGAGCAGAAGACCCTGTTCCACCATCCATACCTGCGGCTGCCATTATCTCTGTCAGAAAGGAAAGGTTACTTTCCCCTGGGCTCCACACCTGAAAGCATCTTGGATCTTGAAGGGAGCCCATCAAATGCTGGAGGAAGCAAGCGGATGCTTTCTCCAGCTGGGAGTTTGGAGCTCACCATGGAAACCCAGCAGCAAAAACGGGTGAAGGAAGAAGAGTTCTCTGAGGCAGAAGAAAAGCTGGAAATAGTGATGATGTCCAGTGCAATAGAGGAAGGGAAAAAGCATGATCAAACGGCAGCCAAGGCAGAAACACTCCCTAATATATTGTCTAAACAGTCAGAATCCCTGAAAGGCCAGGCTGCTTTAAACCTGGTCTTGCCACAGTCTGAGGCCTCTAGCCTTGAAGGTCAAAAGGAATGTAAGCAGCCAGCAGGAAAGAAGCTTGAAAGCAAGCATGCTCCTGAGATAGTGAAGAAGGAAGATTTGAAAGAATCAGCGGAACCCTCGGTGGCAAGCCCTCTGAGCTCAGCATGTCCCTCAGAGGCTGCTCAAAGCTCCGAGAAGTCTCAGGACAGTACAGACGTTAAGAAGGTACTTCTGTTCCCCAGTCTCCACACAACTACTAATGTCAGTTGGTGCTATTTAAATTACACAAAACCAAATCACATTCAGCAAGTTGACCACAGGTCCTCGGTGTATGCCAGCTGGTGCATTAGTCTGTATAATCCCAACCTCCCTGGTATATCTACTAAAGCCGCCCTGTCACTCCTACGCTCCAAGCAAAAGGTGAGCAAAGAAACCTACACCATGGCAACTGCTCCACGTCCAGAGGCAGGGAGGCTTGTACCCTCAAGTTCCAGGAATCCCAAAATGTCTGAGGTAAGGAAAATCACTTTTTCCTTTGGCCCTCATCTGCTTGGTTTAAGGATTTGCTGCCAGGCTTCAAAGAACTGGATCAGCATGTTCTCCAGTTGAGTTGGGTTGTGGCTCCTAGAACTGGCTCCCAAAAGCAATGCTGGCTGGATGTCTTGGAAGTTCTCAACCCAATGCATTTGGAAGGTACCAGGTTGGAGAAAGTTGCTCTAGAACCCCAACTGTTGCCTAAAATAAACTGGTATCAGGCTAGTTAAAGGCAAACATACTTGGGTGCATTGGGTTCCCCAACACAGTTGCTTTGTTCTGTCATTCTCCAATCTGGTGCCTTTGGATATATTGGAGCTGCAACTTTCAGAATTCCCAATGATTAGGCAATACCACAGTGGTAGAGTGGTAGAGTCAACACTTTTGAAGGGTACTGCTTTGGGGAAGGCCATTCTGATCCATTTTATAGCCTTCTAATGTGCAGTCAGACCAAAGAATGGGCTGCTGATGCACCTCTTTGTTTGCTCTGCTGCACAGATAAAATTGTAGAATCAATCCTTGCCGTGGAAATTGCATTAAATGCCTTGCTTCCTAATAAGCACCACAGTACTGCATCATGTCTACTCTGTCTATTCCCAATTCTGTGAGTGACTGGTGTGTGGAAGCTTCCTCCATGTAAGTCTCTAGATTTCGGCTAGTGAGCCTTACTATCCCATTCAATGAAACTGGTAGAAATTGGCAAGTTAATGGATCTCCCTGTTCAGAGAAAAATGTATACAGCTGCTTCTGGAGTCTAACATGTATTAGGAGGCAAGCTATCACACAGTGGTCTTGGGAATAGCTGGTAATAGAAGTCACAGAAGGCTTCCAAAAGCTGGCACCCCTAGTAAATGGCAACTTGTGCGAAAAGAGCGCAGACACTTTCAGAAGCCTTCACTGATCTTGTGTAGTATGTAAAATCAATTGCATGTTTTAGCAGTTAAATCAGTTCAAAGCCAGACCACTCATTGATTAAAACCACCTTGAAGTGGTTGATGGCTCCACTAAAAAATGAAATCCTGCAAAGAACAATTAATGAGAAGACTGGTTTTAGGGAGAGCTCAGCCCTGGAATTAGTGATGACTGATCAAACTTGGAAATTATTATAGGCTTGGTGCTTGGGGCGGGGGGGGGGTCACTGTGCTAAATTAAAATGCCCCTTACTGTGATTTCTGTTAAGAGAAGCAGAAATAAAAACTAAGGTGCTTTATATTATTTTATGTATACAAATCTTAGTAATCCATAGGAAAGAGCAGATTATTTTAATGTTTTATTGTTTTCATTTCACATCACATAACAGGAGCTTGGTGGGGTTTTTATGGTCTTAAAATGCTTTGAGGTATGCTTATGGAGTCTAGATCCAAGACTGCATGGTGCTTAGCAGAGGCTGACCCAGCATAGGAGTAAACATAGCTTCTTACAGAGTTACATTAAAATCATAGCATTTCATGTTTACCCTGGAGAAAGGCTTTTGACTTTGGGCTGAAGACAACATGAAGCATTCAGCCGTGAGATGAAAAGAAGGCTGAATGCTTAGAAGCACCTGCAGGGTCAAAGAGGGTGTTTTTTTGGCATAATATTGGGGTGATTGTCAAGTCAGACTGCTTAACTTGAAAGCAGACTCAAAAAAAAAAAAAGATGAAAACCAGATTCATGTTTTGGAAAATGGTTCCAGTCATATAACCTTCCTCTGTCCTGTTAAAACAATTATCTGACTGACTGCAGAGATTCCTTGGCACAGTTTACCTTTTGTTCTTCTTTACCTTCTCATTGGCTGGTTATATGATAGTGGATGGAACAGAGCATCATACCAGACTTTTGCTAGCAAAATAGGACTTTGAGCTCCTCTCTGCCCCCCTCACCCAACCCACTTTTCATTCTCAGCAGAACTCCAAAATCCATTCTGGTGACTGAGGGATCTTCTGGAGCAGATTTTAAGAGGCCATGGAAGAAAGCTCTGAAGAGAGAGGGAGACTTGCTCTTTTGTTTCCTCAGCAGAAATCATGTCCAATAAAAGAAACCTATAACTGGATTCCACCCATTCTTAAGAGTCGGACTATGTTGCTGCTGAGGATTTAACCCCAAATCCATAGATGAGTGCTAATTTCAGAAATGGTGTTCATGGCATTTCCATTACTTTTGTACATGGTTACGCTTTCTTTGCAAAACAGAAATGATTGTCCTGTCTCATCTAGTAATACTACACTTTTCCCTTTTACTGTTTATTTTATTTTATTTATTACTGGTATTTCTATACTCCAGAATGGCTCCTCCAAAACTTTTATCAGAGATGGACATTCTGTGACCCCTTAGAAGTTGAGGAGGTACAACTGAAAGTAGCCCACAGTTAGTATAACTAATGGTTTAAATCCTGGGAGTACAGCTCAGAGTACAGTTTGTTTCCTTATGGCATAACTCATGTTCTTCTCATTGCTCTTTAAAGTTTCACTGAAAGAGACTTTAGCAGTAGCCTTAAAAAGAGAAGCTACCACATTTGATTTCAGTGCAGTCCATGCCAGAAATAGCTGCCGACTCTTTACTTCCCAGGAAAAGATTGAACTGAGGTGTTGGGGATCAGTGACCATCCCTCCTCCTCCTGCTCCTTTTTTTTTTTTTTTAAAGAATAATAAATTGCTTTGATTTTTTTGGGAGATAGGTTCATCTGCCTTCACTCCTTCCCAGTGAAGGTCGAAAAGATGTAATGCAAACCAATAAGGAAGGGGATAAAAGAGGAAAAACTGAAGATGACATTCCTGTAGCCAAGCGAGGAGAACCAACCAGGATCAAGATCTTTGAAGGAGGGTGAGTATTTCTCATATTCCATAGTGTTTGATTGCTGGGAAGCTTTGATTCTAAAAACAACTCCTAGGTAAAAGATGCCATGGTGACCCCTGTTAACTCCAGTTAGGCTTAGTTTTCCACTCTTTCCTCTCTCTTTCTCATCACCGTTAAGGTCCTGGATTCCAGCAACTTGTATGCCAGGTGAATAGCTGCAGGTTTTAAGAGAGCTGGATAGTAGACATGTTTCTGATTTTCTGTAATTTTGACTGTAATAGAAGAATTGGTTAGAGCTGTATTATCTGACTTTTTCCAGAAGATTTGAGTTGGGTTGAGTTATTTCAGGCATCTCAGTTAGGTTAGGATGAGAGTTTGATGCCAGCAAGATAGATCATGTGCTCACCCCAGTTTCACCTATGGCTAGCTGCCCAAAATATTCTATGTACAGTCTTATGCAGATGTTTCTGTTGCTTGTTGGTGCCTGATGTTGTACATCTAGTAGTCCAATTTCTAGCTGTGGCCCTCTCCTCATAGATACAGACTTGTTTCTGTGCTTAAATCTGATGCTCTAGATTGGGGTGTTTAATGTTGAAATGTAGCCTACTTTAAGTTATATCCCAACTTCAATTTTCATCATATTTACTTCATACGTTGCAGCCATTTGATCAGAACTAGAGAGAGTCTCTGTTGGTGCTCAAATGATGGCGAGAAGAAAATAACAGGATGCCCTTAAGGAAATCTATAGCTCTGGCTTTTTGCCAGTTCAGCCAAATCAAAGATCTACCTATTATTTTTCAAACCCAGAAGTCCCCCAGAATGCTTAGAAGAAGCAAAGTTGGCCAGTAGTGAGGAATTATGGGGATGGGAGTTCCACAACATCTAGAGGGACACAGTTTCCTTGCTTGTGAGTTGGTATTGGGTTTCGTTTTGTTTTTGTTTTTTACACCTTCTGCTCTTCTTTATAGAAAACCATTCCCTGTCAGTGGCTGGGTTTTCATATTGTGCTAAACCATTTGCATGGTTTTGGTTTACTATGATATGTAAATCTAGTTATTGTGGTTTGCAATCAAGATGTTGGCTTCAGCAGCTACTGAAGCTGATCTAACAACGGCGGTTAAAACAAATGCTATTGTAGCTGAGTGTGTGATTCTAACTTATATTATTCACCAGCAAACTTTGACCTTTTCTTCCCATCTGCTTGTGCAGTTTTTTAGAGGAGTTCATCTTTGTCCATAAATGTACAGTCTAAACAGTAGAGTTAGTCTTAACGTTGTCAATTGATGGGGTTTTGTGGTCATTTTAGACCAAAAATAAAATGTGATATCCGTATAAGCTTTCCAAGGTTTATTTCTGTTGCCTTATCAGGAAGGACACATTGATATGATGGGTTTTTTAAGTACATAAATATAGGCTCAGTTAAGAAAGCAATAGTTTCGTATATATAATTAAACACTCTTCTCTTTTTCTATGCTTTTTTTAACTTGATTAGGTAGAACTTTGTGTTCCTAATAAAAATAGCTGAACGTGGAGCTACAGATGTAAAATTAGAAGCACAGTCTATTGCTTTATTACCTTATTTCATTGCCATTGGTGATAAGTGAGCAGGATGCCCTTGGCGCAAGTAAGCAGACGATACAAATCTGTAGTGCCCAACACAAACAGAAAGGAGCAGAGATTTATGAGCTTTTACCTAGATTCATCCTGCAGATGGCATTTAAAAAAATGTGAGATTTCAAATAGAAATTTGGTGTAATTGCTTTTTTGGGGGTGGTAGTTCCTGCATACAGAAGGTGGAATAAGCTACTACTGTATTTGTTGAAATAACATTGAAAATGGTCTGTCTTTGTATGTCATGATGAACCTGAATATCCAAGAGTTGTACCTTACTATGAATATGCATTCTTCCAATTGTTCCCAAGTTCCAAAGTCGTGTTTATGGACTTTCCCATCTAAACAACTTGTTGAATTTCCTTCCATGGTTAGTTTATCATGATTTAAGAACTAGAATCAGTTGTTTTTCTACTACAAAAACCTGTCAGGGATGGTATTTTGTCCAATTTCTTGTTTGTTTGAGAGATGAACCAGGGTCCTGGCATGTCATGGCAAGCAAACCGCAGAGGGAGTTTAACTTCTACTGGCAGGGGAGCTAAATGGAAGCAGTCATGCTGCTTTGGTCAAGTTAAGCCAGGATTCTTAGTTATGAGAAGAATCTGGTTGTGGTAAAGAACTGTGGTGAAAGATACTGGATTGAGGTAATCTAAGAACCCTAAATAATATTAGAGGAATAGTGATTTTAGTGATGAAGCTGAGGAGTGATATTTCATCAGTGAACTTCTATGGATTTCATATACATAAACCACCTGAGCATATACTACATAATATATGAACATCTTGATGGCATCATCGGGGCATTCCACCTTTGATCACCAAAGTCATGCAATGAGATGACCTTACACTCAACAGCAGTTGCATAACGATGGTAGAATCTCTGTTGAGAAATATTCCCAACTTCTTCCATTGTCATGGTCATGTTTTTTCCTTGTTCTTAACTCAATATTCTCTATTTACTGAAAATGATCCTAATTTATCTTGATAAAATACATGAATAGATTGGCTAGCAACCTCTCTGTGAAGGCTTGTTTGTTTTTTAGTTCTTATTTTAAACTCTGCAAGTAGTTTTTGAGCAAAGGGCACTATAGTATAATTGTACATTATTTTGCAGTGATCCCAAAGTATATATATTTAATTTGACTTAAAAAAAACCCTCACAAGATTTCCAGTAAGAACCCAGATGTCTTGTATGATTTGGCCATCATGCACGTTTTTTGTCAATGTGATTTTTTTTACAAAATGAGGCTATAGGGCCCTATCTGGTGGCATTATAGGCATCATGGCATTTGCAAGCTGAAGTTGCAGATTTCAGCTTAAAATTAAATAAAATAAAGTGAAAAATTGGCATGGAGTGATAGACATTTTGCAAAGTTTTAAAATTTTAGCTTGTGTTTTCTTACCTGAGCAACAGTCATATAACTAAGGACCCACGTGGCAGCTTGTACGGACTTTATGTAAATATTTATTACAGGGCCTAATCTGCATTATAATTTTAACGTATTGTTGCTTACTTAGGAGAGCCAGGGCTACCAACTGAAAAAGACGTGCTAATTCTGCTGGAGGAATACACCTTTGATAAGGAAGAATGTGCAGTATGTTTTGTATTCCCCATTTTTTAACTGGGTGAGCATTCAGGCATTAGTTTATCCTCTGCCTTTTCATTGAATGGGTTAATGTTGCAATTTACTTGGGTTGCAAAGCAGTAGCTGGTCATTTGAAGAGAGAGAGTTAGCTTACAGATGTTTTCCATCAGGGCACAGAATCAGCAGTTTTTCAAGGTTTGTGAATTTCTTGACGTCCTTATTTAAACACAACACTTAATGACTGGAATTATGTGGGTTGCAAGAAGCCAAATCGTTCTGCTTGTCATCTCAGGTTCAGCTGTATTGATTTCACGTCCATGAGTTCTACAAGTCAGAAGACAGTGTTCCATTGCTTTTAGGCAGCTTTTTATGCAGACCTGGGCAAGTTTTGGGTGGCCAATAGCTCTGCAACTGTTTGAGGAAGTCCAAGAGCCCCAGTGAGTGGAGCAATGATGTATCATGGTGGAACTATTTTTTTCTTTATTTGGGACAGTTAGAGGAGCTCTTAACTTTTAAAACTCTATTAAGGTTATTGTAGATGGTCCACTATAGCTTTCATATGTTCCCTGTCTCAAAGAAGTGAAAAATCATATAATTAGTTTTCTGTAGCAGTGGTCAGAGGAAGGTATGAAGACCACAAAGAAGGTCTTCACTTAAAAAAAAAAGAAAAAGAAAAGGATTGTGAACACCTCCATGTGGCCACAATTAGGGGCAGTTGACTCACTGGAAGTGGGAAGATTGTGTTAATACTTAAAAATATTGGCAGCTTATAGCTGGCCTCTTCCTCTTCCTATGATTTGGCTTCTCATTGTAGCTGGTAACTGCCAACTACCTGCTTAGATTACTGTTACTAATTCCCAGAACATACTTGAATTGTTCTGTACTAAAAGTCATGAATTCAGTCATTTTAGTTGTTTATTTATTTGGATGGGTTATGTTTCTGAACAGGTCTATTTTAATAATTGAATAGGTAGGGTTTCCTATCTTAGCTGGGAAATAAGTCATAATTTTGCAAACCATTATTCACATGTCTAACAGCATGTTATAGATTGTCTAGATCTGGAAGTAAACAAATGTGTGCAAACTTTCCACGCTTAAAAGTGAATTGAACGAATAATAATAATGATAATAAGAATAACACCATTGGCATTGATAAAATCATCATCAGTCAATTGCAAAAGGCAGCTTTACTTGGAACAGCTTATATCCTGTGACCTTTAACACCATAAACAACATCTGCCTATCCCAGGTCCTTGGGAAGGACTCAATAGGTGGATAAAGATGCCAAATCCAGTCTAATCATCTGGCTGACTATGTGACCAACCATCATCATCATCATCATCATCATCATCATCATCATCATCATCATCAAGTGAATTGAACTCTGAACCACAGTCTACATGAACCTCAGAAGTCTGGGAGTAGAGATAAGGCTTAAAATGATGTTGAAGAAGAAACAGATTTTAGCAAATAGCAAGAAGAAAACAAGTTCAATGTTGGTCAACCTTAGTAGCTCAGAATATATGAATTTCAACTCCAGAATGCTCAGCAGTGGGCATACTGGCTGGGGCACTCGGAAGTTGAAGTCCCTACCTCTGCAGCTGGTTGGTCGGGAAGCATTGCTCTAGACCGTTCTGCTTCTTTGACTACTCACTCCCTCTTCCATGGCTGGCATAAAATCATGGCTGCTGGGTTAACCCATCACCTTAAGCAGTAATGTGGTTTGTTAGATTTCTTCTGGGCTAGACTTTGTAAATCATGATTTATAACTCAGCAGGTATATAAACCCAGCTATTGTGGCTTCTTTAACAAACATGGTGAAAACCAAGC